CTGCTTCGCTTAGCGCCATCAAAGAGGCTCCCTCCATCTGCCTCTCTCCCTCTCGCTGTCGCTCATTTTCGTGCCCCTCTTGATCGCGTCTGCAAATTTCATTGAGCGTCGAGAATATCGGCAATCAGTAATTAATGGCTTTGTCAGCCCAACAACATGTGTATACATCCATTTGTATATATGTATATATATATGTATATATGATTTTGATTCTTTGCATTTTCGTCTGCGRTCCTCTCGAGGTGCTCGCGATCAAATGCTGGAATTTCGTTGATAGCGCCGCCAAACATCCTGTTGTTGTTGTTGCTATGTCTGCATGTGTTGTTGTTGTAGTTGCTGTTGGTGTTTTGGGGATTGTGTCTTTGGTCTCTCTTCAGTTTGGCATTTCGCAAACGTCTGCACGTCTACATATCTCACTGGCTGGGGCACAGACTGCGACTGCCACTGCCACTGCGACTGCGACTGCGACGGCGATTGGGGCATGAAGCTAAAGCAGAGAAGGCGAGGGGGGAGGGGGAGGAGGAACCAACTCGAGCAGGCGGCCTTTCGACTGGCACTGGGCGCATTCGGTTGCTATTTTTAATGTTGACACGTTTGAAGATCATTGACTCGCCTTGCAGACGGTCAATGTCCATTTCTTGCCCAGACAGATCACTAAAAGATGCGCCAGAGGCAGATGGGGGCAGGGCGACATTAGGCAACGGGCATGCCAAATGAAAATGTGAATTATGCGCAAAATGTGGTTTCGGTCTGCTGCCGCTGCTGCTGCCGCTACTGCCGCTGCTGCTGCTGGTGATGACAGGACCAGATCCAAGAAGGCGTTCGAGGCTATCGTGAGATCGTGTGCTAGCAGCAGCAGCAGCAGCCAGAACAATGCCTGCTCCTCGTATCAATTGATCACGATCGTTAGCCCAGATCAAACAGATATATATATACCTTTATATAGGAGCTAAGACAATTAAGGGAATAGATCAGATACTTACCTAAACTATGTTGCAATGTGTGATCTGTGTGATTATGTAGCTCGCTTAGCAAATGCAAATATTCATATACCCTACATGTAGATCGCTCCATAAATGTATATTAAGATCATATGTTAGCTATGATCGATTAGCTGGCCCAAAGTCGGCCAAGTTCTATATGTCAATGATCTTTCTTTAGCTGCGCGGCTTGAAAAGTAACCGTAAATCCTTTATTAAGATCAATTCCCAACGCCTGGCGATCAGGGTACAATTAGCCAAGGCACTCTTTCTTCTCAGATCGGCTTGAACTCTTCTTTATGCTCTGTAGCATTCCGAGATCTTGGACGCGCTCAAGTGCTCTCGTTGTTGCTGCTTACTGACATTGACACGATCCACTATGGCTGTCATAAATCTCACCTACCTTGGCTGGCACATGATGGGATTGTTCCCGGAATCGCTTGGTGGCTTAAGCTTGTCTTTAAGCTTCGCCGTTGTTGCTGGTGGTCAAAAGGAGCTCAAGCAAAGTCAGACGGAAGACAGAGAAAAAAGTGCAAATCACTTCATTAATGCATTGCATATGGGACGATCCCTGCAGCAGCCGCAACAGAGGCAGCCGCCGTGGCTGCGACTCAGCGTCGCCGATTTGCAACATTGTTGCGCAAGGCTTCATTCGGCCGGGAGGCTGCACATCATTTGGCTTAATGGACCCGCAGCAACAACAATGACAATGACAACAACAAAAACATACTTATTTGCTCTGAGCTGAACAAAAAGTTCAGCATTGCGCTGAATCGCGGCATCGCCAATCGGCGATTCTGCGCCGTTCGAACCCATGCCACACAAGCAACCAAGAGAAAAAAGCGAGAGTTTCCGATGAGCGATACTGAGAGACCTCGAAATACCCTATAGTGTGTCGCTGAGAGCAAAATTTTAACGAACATTTTGGTGAAGTAACAGGCGAACAGAAATGAGAAGTAGGGAGGTCTAAATAGATCAAATTAAGTTTTAATGAACGTGTATTGTAATGCACTGATATTTAACAGTATTTATTATGGTAAACAACAGTGAGCGGGCAGTGTTACAATAATACACTGTAAACTAACATTTCTCACCCTACTATTGATTTCTGTTCGCCTATTACTTCCAGAGTTTCTATAGGTATTTTGGTGAGCTACCAGGCCCACAGAAAGCAGAAGTAGGATGCCAAATGATTGTTAACATTACCATTAACAGTGTTCTGTTACCAGGCTGYTATTTAACAGAGTAATAAAAGTGCGCTAACAGTGTACTGCTAATATACTGTCAGCGAACATTTTTCATCCTCCAACTCATTCCTGTTGGCCTGGTACTTCCAGAGTTTCCATAGGTTTTCTGGAGTAGTACCAGGCCCACAGAAAGCAGAAGTAGGGTGGAAAATGTTCGTTAAAAGTACATTAACAGTGTACTGTTACCAGGCCGCTATTTAACAGAGTAATAAAACTGCGCTAACAGTGTACTGCTAATATACTGTCAGCGAACATTTTTCATCCTCCAACTCATTCCTGTTGGCCTGGTACTTCCAGAGTTTCCATAGGTATTCTGGTGAAGTACCAGGCCCACAGAAAGCAGAAATAGGGTGCCAAATAATTGTTAACATTACCATTAACAGTGTTCTGTTACCAGGCTGTTATTTAACAGAGTAATAAAAGTGCGCTAACAGTGTACTGCTAATATACTGTCAGCGAACATTTTTCACCCTACAACTCATTCCTGTTGGCCTGGTACTTCCAGAGTTTCCATAGGTATTCTGGTGAAGTACCAGGCCCACAGAAAGCAGAAATAGGGTGCCAAATAATTGTTAACATTACCATTAACAGTGTTCTGTTACCAGGCTGTTATTTAACAGAGTAATAAAAGTGCGCTAACAGTGTACTGCTAATATACTGTCAGCGAACATTTTTCATCCTCCAACTCATTCCTGTTGGCCTGGTACTTCCAGAGTTTCCATAGGTATTCTGGTGAAGTACCAGGCCCACAGAAAGCAGAAATAGGGTGCCAAATAATTGTTAACATTACCATTAACAGTGTTCTGTTACCAGGCTGTTATTTAACAGAGTAATAAAAGTGCGCTAACAGTGTACTGCTAATATACTGTCAGCGAACATTTTTCACCCTACAACTCATTCCTGTTGGCCTGGTACTTCCAGAGTTTCCATAGGTATTCTGGTGAAGTACCAGGCCCACAGAAAGCAGAAATAGGGTGCCAAATAATTGTTAACATTACCATTAACAGTGTTCTGTTACCAGGCTGTTATTTAACAGAGTAATAAAAGTGCGCTAACAGTGTACTGCTAATATACTGTCAGCGAACATTTTTCATCCTCCAACTCATTCCTGTTGGCCTGGTACTTCCAGAGTTTCCATAGGTTTTCTGGAGTAGTACCAGGCCCACAGAAAGCAGAAGTAGGGTGGAAAATGTTCGTTAAAAGTACATTAACAGTGTACTGTTACCAGGCCGCTATTTAACAGAGTAATAAAACTGCGCTAACAGTGTACTGCTAATATACTGTCAGCGAACATTTTTCATCCTCCAACTCATTCCTGTTGGCCTGGTACTTCCAGAGTTTCCATAGGTATTCTGGTGAAGTACCAGGCCCACAGAAAGCAGAAATAGGGTGCCAAATAATTGTTAACATTACCATTAACAGTGTTCTGTTACCAGGCTGTTATTTAACAGAGTAATAAAAGTGCGCTAACAGTGTACTGCTAATATACTGTCAGCGAACATTTTTCAYCCTMCAACTCATTCCTGTTGGCCTGGTACTTCCAGAGTTTCCATAGGTATTCTGGTGAAGTACCAGGCCCACAGAAAGCAGAAATAGGGTGCCAAATAATTGTTAACATTACCATTAACAGTGTACTGTTACCAGACTGTTAATTAACAGAATAATAACACTGCTCTGTTAAATACAATTTTACCTTTTTCATTGTGCTACTCATTTCTGTTCGCCTGGTACTTTTGAAAATAACCGTTCAAATTTAGGACCCAACGGCCGCAACAACAGCCTCCCTAAGATATGCAACTATATTTCATGTGGAGCAAATTTTTAGCCGTTGATTTTTGAATGTTAATTCCCAGTAAAGGACCCTATTAAATAAGAAAACCGTTTGTATATTTAATGACCAAAGTTTTTTTATTGTTTTTCAAATTTTTACAGTTTTAATGAACTAAATGTACATTTATTTATACACTTATACATATCTCTTAAGTTATTAACATGTTTATCATTTACATTTCTCTTACACATAAATACATATCTCTTAAATTATATGATGTTTATCATTTACATACATATCTTAGATCATATAATGCTTATCATTTACACTTATTTATACACATATTTATATATCTCTTAAGTTATATCATGTTCGGGCCACTTAATACTATCCTGCGATATTTTTGCATTTCTTGTGTATATCGCCTGACATCGAGCATGATGCTGAAGAAGCGCTTTTGTCTGAAAATATAAGAGATATATTAGAATAAAATGAACAGCAAGAGAGCGGAATAGACTGTTGTATGTCAGTGTGTTAGGACTTACCTCTGACGTTTCATGAAGAATATGGAAACTTGCATTTCCTTTTCTTTTTCGCTCAGTGGAAAAGAATACTCTCCTGGAAAATACAAAAAAAAATATACATTGTTAATAATAAATATATATTAATTTAGTTAATGCTCTATTTAATATTTCGGTCTCATTTAAATTCTATTTGTTCTGCCTTTGTCTTTCTCTCTCTCTGTCTCTGTATTTATCTCTCTATCCTCTTTCTCTTTATACCTCTATCTTTTTCTCATCCCTCAGTCTATCTATTTCTATTTTTCTCTCTCTCGATGTCGGTAATAGAGCCTATAATACGAGTATATAGCTCTGCCCAAGTGCCGCTTGTCTTTTGAGCCTTAGTTATTAAATTATATCTCGTATATATTTGCAAATTAAATTATTTAATTTTCATAATTTTGTTTTTGAATTCGAATTCAGTTTAGTAACACAGTCGTTACACGTCACTAAGCTTAATTTCTTTTTAAAGTTTTTAATTCTTCAAAATTTCCAGTTCCAGTGAAATTTCACAAGCCAATGTTATGGTCATGTCTGTGGCTTTAATCACTCCTGTCTTCTTATTATGCCTCTTTACATTGGTGAAGATGGGTAAGTGATAGCGATGGGAAAAGCAATAGTATATGTGTCCAGACTGACACACATATACATATACATATATAAGAAAATGAAATCTTGTGTCATTAAACAGCCCTAGTTTATTCCTTAAAGACGACAATGATGCAGAATTTGGGCAAGGGTTCGACGTCAGCATTCATGAAGTTCCTTACATAGGCACACTGAGGTATTACTCAAAGGAGATTGAGGAACTGGGCAGTGGCATGTTTTGCATGGCTATTCCTATTAAAAATCGTGTGCTTCTCTCAGCGGCTCATTGTGTATTTAAGTGAGTACAGCTTTTGGCGTTTGGCTGAGTGAAGCTCTTGGCTGTTATCCCGATATTATTTGTTGCAGTAAGAATCACAACGACGTTGTGGTTATTTTGGGAAGCTCCAGCCTTACGATCCGAAGTCCAACAACGAGGATGCTGAGTGTCTCATATTGGCATTGGCATCCACTGTATAAAATGCTGCAGCCGCCCTACGATATTGCAGTGGTCTTCACATACGACGATATAGAGCCCATTGCAGGCGCTATTCAATATGCACCCCTCAATTTGCAGGAGGTGCCCAAGGGTACCAAATGTCTAATATCCAGCTGGACTCGACTTGCTGACGTAAGCAAATTAATAATTTGATCTACTATGCCAAAACTAGGCATCGATAACAAAACTAATCGATTGTCTTCCTCCCTTAGGGTAAGCAAAAACGTTCAAACACTATGCAAGCGATATGGGTATCGACCCTGGACAGAAAATTCTGTTTTCTGACAATTGACGCACCCGGCTATATGTGCAGCAAATCGGAGGTCTCCAATGTCGGAGTCAACACAGGTGACTTAGGTGCACCCGTGGTGTGCAACGATAAACTGTCGGGAATCACCTGCTTCATAATACCCACGCGCGGCATAACCTTTAACACAGCTATAAATGTGTATGCCAAGTGGATAAGAGCAAGCGTTTACCTCTACTTCAAAGGATCTCCACCAACAGTAATACCAACAGCATCGACAACAGCCACACGAAGATCGGTGCTTGCTACGCCAAATTCAGTGCCACTTCGGTCCATCTGTAACCAGTGGATAGTTCTTTCGGTCATCAGCATTCATGTGATATTTATGATTCCTACATTTGATTTCGATTTTAACTTGTAGTTTTACATAAAAATATTTTTACTATATTACGAAGCTCGTGCTTAAGATGTAATTCTCAGGGTATCTGCTAGTCGAGCAGTCTAGCCTGTAACAAAAAGCTTTTAAATGAAAAAAATCGCTGCGATCTCCATCTTCATCTTCAATCTGAGATCTGAATCCACTAATCGAGTGGCCCCCACGACCGATCGTTGGCTCATATTTTGTGGCATTGCTGTAATTTTAATTGCTCGCATAATTTCGACAGTTAAAGCGATTACGGAGCATTGCCATAGAAAGCCAAACGAAAGCTAGCAACAAAACCGAGATACAAAAATTCCCCACAAAAATAGAGGGGAAACAAGACAAACGAAAAGCAACGGCAACTGAAAAATGGTGTTAAGTATTTACACGTGCGTTGCCCATAAACCGACAGCCGAGCGCTACGTTAGAGGCAACCGCATTTTGCCCTACTATCAATCCGTAACGTATATAGACGATCCATCAGCTGAACCATTGAAGAAGCCACCAATAAAGTGAGCTAAGACTCTGTGGGAAAAGATTAGCTGATGATCACAGATGATCAGATCCACTAACATATCATTTGAGAGACGATCAGAGATGAAACCTAATGACAGAGGATCGGTGATCATTTGTCAAAAATCTGTTGTAGATAATTTAGTATGTGTGAAGTATGATATAAACATGTGTAAGAGTAGGCATTAGTATAAAGACTATTGTAATGCCTAGCAATTTAAGACATCATTGATCACTCATGCTCTGAGGTAGACGTAGAGCTTATTTAAATGACATTTGATAGATGATCAGATATGAAACTCGATGATGGAGTCATCGTGATCAAACGCTAACTTCTGACTCTATAAATAACAGATGAAATGATATCTACTGATAGATAAAATATAAACGATATTATCCTACTTAGCTTCTCGGCTCTGAGTAGCTCCACTTAGACGGCAATTCCAGTTCTACTTAGAGCAACTCCAATCTGTCACATCTCATTCGTGAATCTTGCCACAGTTAGAGCATCTCTTCGACGACAATCGTAGGAGCCGAATGTGGAGCAGAAAACGCAACTGGTGCGGCAGCTAGAGATGACGCCTTGTCTCTGTAGCGCGTATTGAGCGAAGGCAACATTTAGCCTAGGCACGAAACAAATCTCAAGAGTCAAAGCACACAAACAAACAACAACCACAACACAACAAATAAATTGAAAAAAACTCCTCTTGAAATATGTTTTATAAAAGAAATTGTGAGCAAAGAAAACCAAAGTCATATATAATTTTCATGATTATTGCTGTAAGGTGTCATTGAAGGTGAGAAATGGGAGCACACGCGTGTGCCCCAAAGCGTAAGCCCCCAAAACATAAAGACAGAAAAAAATAAAAGTAAAATAAAACGAAAAACCCGAACAAACCGAAGTCAAAGCCGAAAGCCATTGAAGAAGGCAAGTGTAAAAGTGAAAAGTCTTTGAATACCCTACAAATCTGCGATCTCAAATGGGGTATAGTGCTCTGGACTTCTATCAACACGGATATGAAACGGAAATATGAATTCTTCTCTTTCTCTCTCTCTCTCTCTCTCTCACACACACACACAAGCACTAAAGCACTCAAACTTTATCTATTTTATTAATATCAAATTAGACAACAATGCAATACAGGGTAGCTCTAAGTTGAGCTAGTCGTTAAAGTGATTTTGGAGTAGAAGTCATACAAACTGATTATGAGCTGTGGATCGTGCAGCTATTATCGCTTTTTGTTTTTAGTAAACATTTAAAAGAAGAAGCAGAAGAAGAAACGTTACAAGTTCGTTTTCATGAATGAATTTATGATTGCCTCAGTGGCTTGCCCCCCGCCATTGGGGGCTAACCACTTGGCACTCCACAGAGGCCCCCATGGTTTTGTTGTTATTTGACTTATTATCAAACACACACACACACACACACACACACACACACACACACACACACACACAGACCGGTACCTTAACACATTTGTTGTTTAATTTCGCTTTGAGTCCACGTCTCATGTCCCACGTTTCACGTTCCACGTCCCGAGTCTCCCACACCCCACTTCCCATTCCTCTTGTTGTTTCTGTCTCAATTCATAGATTATTAAAGCGCTCTCTGTTTCTGTTTTAGCTATATAGAATTCCAGTCAATTGCTCGCTGAACATTCGGGCAACATAAATTATTCGAGTTGTAAATTTTTCGAAATGTTTAATTATAAGTTATTTATGGCATTTGACTTAACCTGCGTGCGTAGCATTTCAATCAGCCAACCAAAAACTCTGCCCGCCTCGCCGGTGCTAAACAAGTCATTAGCCATAGATGTGACCGGAAATGGGGACAATTGACAATGGACAGCCGAGAGCGGAGAGCGGAGAACTGAGAACTGAACTGAGCACAGAACTGAGAACTGAGAATCGACTTGGTTTACCAAGCGGATTGATGGACTGATTGCTGCTTCCCACGATGTTAAATCGAGCGGAACTACGACTATGACTACATTATCAGCTATTCCAAATATATTTTTTAATGTTTGTATTTTTTTTATTCGCTCCCCTTTCCCAAACCTACGTTACATAGGTCGACAGGAAGACAGCTCTTCAATATATACGATTCATGAATAGCAAAAGTAGAAATACGGAAATATTGAGAGTAAATAAGTAAAGCCGAGAGCTCCATTCGAGCCAACATCATTTGGCTTGGAGATCTTAGGCTATTTACAGATGATCAGAGCTTAGTCATAGCTTAATCACAAGTATTAGCAGTCTGAACTAAAAGCCAATGCTAATGCAGCGCCGTTAAACTAACTGTAATTGAACGCCACTTTAATTGTTAGCTCTTTCCCTCTATCTCTTTCCCTCGGGAATTTATGCAATTCAATGCCATTTCAATTCTCAGTTGACAAACCGACAGCAGAAAGCGGAAACCCGATGGGGAAAATTAGAATTAAAAATTTCCAATCAAACCAAGCTGCAAACTCCAATCGAGGCAAAATGTGGGCGTGGCAGCGGAGGCTAGAGCGAGGCAAGCGAGTTAGCCAGCCCATCTTAATGGCTTGTCTAATATCCTTTAACTGCGAGCCAAGCCATTAAAAAGCATAAAGTCATTTAGTAATTAATTTTCATGTCCTGCTCGAGCGAGAGCTAGATAGAGAAAGAGAGAGGGGATGGAGCGGGAGCGGGAGAGGGAGAGACTGTGAGGATAGGAGGTTGGGCCTGCTAGTGCAGGTGCTCCTACTAAACGGGGCGCGGTCTTAGCACTGCGGCCAGCAATGCCAATATTAAAGCACACACACACATGCGCACACACATATACACACAGGCATGTGCAGTGTCTATGAGTCGCTGCTGCTGCTGCTGCTGCTGCTGCTCCTGTGACTGCTTTTCAAACTGTAAAACAGCATAAACACACACACACACACACATACACATTCATACATATATAGAGAGATGTGTGTGTGTGTGTGTGTGTGTGTGTGTGCTCTTTGAAAAACGCGCCAAACATGTCCTACCTCGCACGAATTTCCAGTGCGCACGTCAGTAAACGCAAAATGCCGCTACCATTTGCTTGGATGCAGCGCCGCCTTTTCCAGCTTCCAATACTACGAATTTTTACTACGTTTTATCGATCCAAGCGTGTGCAACTCGTCTGTGAGTGTGTGTGTGTGTGTATGCGTGTGTGTGTATACAGCGCAGCTGGCACAAGCACGAGCGCCGCTGCTGCTGTATGCCCAGCCGAAAAGCGCAGGAGCCGAAGCTCTCCGAGATGACATGCGAAATGGGAAGCGGTTAACGGTTAGCGGGTAGCGGGTAGCAGGTAGCGGGTAGCGGGTCTGTTGGATAGATGGCGCGGCCGAGGGCGAGGCCACATCAAAAGAGCACCAAAGCGAGCAAACGTGAGTGAGTGAGTGAAAGGGAGAGAGAGAGATTGCGAAGGGGCGCAGCGCAGGGCTGGGGAGAGGCAGCTTGTGCTGCGAAGCTGAGTTCTGTTGCGCTCTCGTTTCACTTTCCACTTGATTCCTTGCGCTTGACAGCCAAACCGAGCGACAGTGGGCGGCTGATTGGATGCTGCTGCTGCTGCTGGTGCCTCTGCCTCTGCCTCTGTCTCTGCCGCTGGCGCTGCTACTGCTGTGACTGCTGCTGCAGCTCAATGCAGGCTGCATGTGGCAACAGACAGGGCTGTGCGTGGCATTCCCTTGCGGTGTTCGCGCTCTCTTTCTCTCTCTCTCTCCCGCTCTCTGTCTCTATCTATCCATCCCTATCCTGCTCTCACGCGCGGCCATTGACCTCTGATGTCAAACAAAATCGGCGTGCACTTATTATATGCCAGTCCAAAGGGAGCAAGAGAGCGAGCCAGCGAGCGAGTGAGAGAGAGGTAGAGAGGCAGGGGAAGCTCGGCCATGGTCCACGAGCCAGCAACAACAGCAATGCCTGCAACTCCCTTTAAAGTGTAAGCGAAAAGCGGAGTGCGGGAGGATGTGCAGAAGGGGGGCAGCAGCCCGAGCTAGTTGCTCTGCCCACGGGCAGTTTGCTTTTGTTGTGTAAATTACGTTATGTATTGTTGTATACTTTTTGGGGTTTGCTCGGGATGCTAAACTCCGAGTTGAGTTGCGAATGAGCCTGGCTACAAATTTTGTATTTGTATTTGTGTTTGTGTTTGCCAAGTGGGAGGTCTGGCCTGTGGGCAGGGGCTGGGACTGGGACTGGGGACTGTTTGGGGGCCGTTCAAACACTTTAAGCTCGGTTAATTCAACTGCACTGATTCTGATATCCTGTTGAAATCTGTTGAATGTTTAGCTATATAAATCACGCAATTAGTCTCCAAATTATTTGTCTATGCAATTAATAAAATGTTGTCTATAAACAAATGTAGCTGATTAGTTGATAGATTACTTACATGCGTATACTTAATCTTCAATGGATTAGAATATCCTTCTCTCTTTCTCTATCTTAAGGATAAGCTGAAATAATGATGCACAAATTTCTGTATTATTTAACATTATTTATGTTTCGCATTATAGAAACAGCTCTAAATGTATATATTATTGTTTTCCATGTTTTTTTTTTCTCAAAATTTAAATTACTTTAAATAAAATGGGTCTGTTCGTTCCTTGATTATTATTGATCAAAATTGAATTAAATAAAATAGAAGTAGAGTAAAATGGAACAACTATTTTCCGTTATTTAATTCAAAGAGTTGTCAACAAAAATGAAAGACGAAATAAAAGCTTCGTATAGGGTGGGTGTCATGGCTAAGCGCTGCAAGCAGAACGGTTCATGTCACGACTAGCCGCGCACAATGCTTGCACAACTGTGCCATAAAGATAGCCAAGCTGGGAAGACAATGCTCCATTCAATATAAGCTCATGGGCACAGAGTTCTCACAGGTGTCCTCGTCGCTGGAACACATAAGGATAAACAAATTATAGACAACTATATACCTCTATCTCACTCACTTATTCTCCTCGATGCGCCGCAGGAAGTTCTGTATTTGCTGATTCTTGCCAATCAGCGCGTAGAGCGCCGCGAAGCCGTGGAGAGCTGTGCAGAGGCAAACGGCGTAGTTCAGATGCGAGCGCTCCTCGCGGTAGTGGTTGAAGGCAAAGGAGCAGACGCAGACGAACCAAGTGAGCGCCGTGTAGGTGAAGAACTTCCAGAACGACTTCAGCCGATTCTTCTCCAGGGACTCAAAGCTCTTCTCCGCATCAATGTCCGGATCGTCGCTGATGCGTATCAGTGTGAGCACGTAGAAGAAGCAGCTGATGGCGCAGGCAACGAATACCGGCGCAAAGAAGTAAATCATAATGCTCCAGTTGCGCGCTAGAAAGAGACAGCAATATAGTGTAGACATGAACCAGAGCTGTGCCCTTGCGTAGTAACTCACGATCGAACCAACAGGTGTCGCCACCAAAGACCAGCCTCGAGCCATGATAGCTGAAGCCCACAAAAACCGACCAGGCCACGGCTATAAGCACGATCGGCCCAAAGATCAGCCAGAACATGGGCTTCGTGAAGACAACTCCATTGAAGCTGACATAGAGCTTGAAGGCTATAAAGCTCAGTATGTAGAAGGACAGCACGAGGAAGAGCAGCGCGAAGCTGGCTAGAGATCGATCAATCAATCAGTCAATCTGTCARTCAATCTATATTTGCATTCGCCACACTCACGTATGATGCGACAGGCGGCCGTTGACAGATTTGCGGGATCGTGGAGTGTCAGGTGAGCCAGCAGCGCATAGCCAAAGATAACACACGTCGTATACGATTTGATCGCCACGCCGTAGAAGCTGTTGCGCATATCCGAGCAGAGCAGGTGAACGATCAGCACTATGAACATCGATATAATGCAGATCAGCAGGCCTGCAGATGAGAAGAGATGAGGAGGAAGATGAGAATATACAAATAAAATATTATTGATATATAGTAACTGGCTTGGTATACTCAGAGAACAGAGGACAATATACATAAGTTAGAAGAGAGATCAAGAAAAAAGCAATATGAAGCAGAATCCGCTTATCAAGATGTTAAATGATCTATTGTGGCAAGGATTGATCTCTTTAGACCATATGCTTGCTCCTCTCTCTCTCTCTCTCTCCCTCTCTTTCTATTGCAATGATATAATTATCCTAAAGAATAAATCTTGAATAATCAAGACTTCCATTCAACTGTTATCACTGATTCATTGCTTTCAGCTGTTAATGGCCAAAATAAATTCACTACTTAATGATCTCCACTAATGGAACTGATCCATGAGAATCGTGCATTGATCGTTTTAATAAGCAAACTGTGTTTATTTTCGAGGCACATGCTGCTTGGCAGCGACTCGCGCAAACATTTTCCATAATGCGTGCGAGGCGAGCCCATTAACAATTATACATATAGGAACTAAAATATGGTAGATATATGGGAGATTAGTTCAAAAGCAAGATGAAAGTAACTGAAATGTATTGTTTAGTCTTTTGATCGAACTTACATACAGCATAGGTCCACTCTCTGACGCCCAGCACAAAGCGAAGCTTCTCTGGGGCACAGGCTAAGGGCTGCCAGCTCCAGCTGCTGTTGCCAATGAGCAGGGGGCTGAAGCAGTAATGCTTGCTAAACAGATAGTCCCGATGGATGATCGAACCGTTCTGTGTGGGGCAGAGTACGTAGATTAGAATTGAAGACCTTTAGCTAGGATTATATCTTAGCTCTTGATTAAATGTCAAGATCGCTTAGACTCATATTATCCTCATTTACATCAACATCGGTGCTATGAGCTCACCTCGTGCAGTGTCCAGTTGAGGTATGTGTTATCCTTGGTGTAGGGCTTCATATGATCGCAGGGAGTCTCCTCATACACGCTGAACAGGGAGCGCAGCTCAATATCCAACTGCGTGCCATTGTGCAGCTGGACAGCCATGTGGCTCTGGTCTGGCGGCGGGGGCAGCTGCTGCTGCGCCGCCAAGCAGCTGCGCTCCTCCAGGTCGTAGAACTGCCCGGCCGGACAGCAGAAGCGCACGCACGGCCGTAGCTTGCAGATGCAGGCGCGCAAATGGCGCTTGGCAGGCACGCGGATTCCGTTCTCGATAATGAAGTCGTAGGCCGTGACCAGCTCGCGTGGTATCACGGTCCAGTTGTGGACGTAGGAGTTGTTGAGGGAGCTGCCCATGTTGTAGCTGCCTGTGATGTTGACCGTGTCGATGAAGGCGCACGGGTGGCGCGCCTCCTCGTGGATGCCCTGAGTCATGGCCAAGAGGCAGCCAATCATCACGAACTGCGCCGTGGCCAAAGAAATTCTCATCGCGGCGTCAGATCGAATCCATTCGCTGTTTACCTTAATGTCCAATTGCAGTTTACCAAATAATCAAAAGCGTTTCCAAAATAGAAATCCAAACACAGGCCGCAGTCGTTCTCCACCGACGTCTCGCTACGGCTCTCTACTCTGGCAACTCTCCGGCGGAAACGGTTCATCCACACCTGGCACTGGCTCAACACGAACTGCGCTCGCTGCGCCCCCAACAGCTGAATCGAATCGAAATCGAAAATGGAATCGAAACATTTTCATTCGCATGTATCCACAAACATGTGGCGGCTCTTGCTGTTGTTGTTGTTGTTGCTTTTGTCTTTGACGACTGCGATTTGTTTACAACAACCAAAAAGCACGCTGAAACTGAGAAACACACGAGAAGCGCAGTGCATGGAACTGAAACTACTCTATAACAGGTGGATCATATGTACAGACTTCTTTATTATCCCTTGAGTACCTAACTGAAATCCATCCTTCAGCCTCTCTACGGGCCCATTCTTAAGGCTATGCATAAATCGATCCTTTAATGAATTATCTTTGTGGTCAGGGTCGAACCCATTCCTGACTTTATCCTTAGTCTTATTGGAATTCATCTTTTATCCCATTCCTGAATCTATTCCTTTCTTTGTTTCTGAACTAGTACCTATATTCAAATAAACCACATCATTTCCGCATTTAGTAGAGTATTTGCAATTCAGTAAGAGACTTCTTTAGCCACTGTATAAACATGCTAGCGAGGCATTCTAAGATATAGACCGCGTCGTTGTGAGGTCGTCAATTGGACAGAGACCGAGACGGACAGCACTTAATGGCGTCATAAAGAGGGCATTTGTTGCGTGCAACTTGACTAGCGAGCACGAACACGAGCACGAACCCGAACACGAGGCCGATCCATTTGGCTACGAGCTGCCATTATAATTGTTTTTGCTCGCTTTATACGTGGCCCTACGAATAGTTTTAGGGGGCTGGTCACCTGTTTGCCATGGGAAAACTGTGCAAACAAATAATTCATGGGTTGGCGAATCCTTTATGCGGATACGTTTCATTACTGCTCCATAAATGCTTAGTATACTAAACGTTCCAAGGTGGAACTATAGGATGCGGGTCTGAGTTGGGTAAATGCCAAACGAATAAAGTTAATTACAGAGAAATCCATCGAAAGCGAAGAGTTTGACGTAATAATATCTGCACCTGTTTAATATGTGCTTACCTTGATGGATGGCTGACTGACTGGAACTGTCTATACGCATTGATTTATCATTTGCGTTTTGACATTAATGGGAATAAATTGTGCGGTATTCGGAGTAGTTCAGGCTGAGGAATCGGCTGAAGTATAAAAATTATAATAATAATAATGATAATGATAATGATAATGCAATGTTTAGGGAAATGACATAAATTGACAATGATAGGCAGTAATAATAATAATATAAATAATAAATAACGATAAGTTATATGTAATATAATAATAATCATAAGGGAAACGACAGTGTTATTAATAATACAAGCGATAATGACGTGATAATAACTTAAATTCCAGAACATAAACTTTTCTTTAATCATTAACTGTAACTGTGTTGCCCAGATGCGTATTGGAGGCATGTGTATATGCATATAAAAATATATATCGTAGTATAACAAGTCTTAATAGTGCTTAATGCGAATATTATTTGCTATCATTCAGAACGATTCATAAGAAAGCTGAGCAACGGCCCGGATGAATCACGAGTTGAGCTAAGCCGTGGCAGTTAGAGTGATGTCACCGTCGGTCTATAAGGTGAGTCTGTGGATAGAGAGAGAGCGAGATAGAGATAGAGCTAGATCAATCAAGGTGCCCATAGAGAGGGATAGATGTTTGCTACTCACCCGGAGACTTGAGATCGCCCTTCTCGTCGAATTTGTAAACTCGCGCGTTTATTATGCTCAGATCCGTTTGACTCGACTCGCTGTGTGGAATAGAACTTATTAATGGGGCTGACTGTGTGGGGTTACCTCAGGTCTTACACATTGATGGACCACCAGGTCTTCACGTGCATATTCTTGCCCAGCAGCAGAATAAATCCCGCTATGGCCAGTACCAAGATGCAGATGCCGCTCCAGAAGTCGATGATGAAGAAGTGCTCCCTCATTCGCGCCAAGATATAGACAATCATCTCGCGCACCCACACCGACGACACGCCCACCAGGTAAGCAGAGAAGGCGTAGAAACTAAGGTGGGGGCGAAGCGTAAGGAACGTTCACCAGGTATATCAATATATTCTTAGTTACGGATTACTTACTGAGTCTTCATGATGCGCAGCTGGGTGCCCAAGATGTATTGCGTGTCTGCAGGCAGGTCGAATATCGAAAAGTATGCCTTGACACAGCAGCCGATGCTGAAGATCAACAGCAGCACAATGGGCACGTAGTAGTAGATCAGAATGCCCCGGAGGCGAACTGAAGAGGGAGATGAGATATAGAAATCATTGACGGATGTATGGAAGATCAAGTGAAATGAAAGTAAATCACTTAATGACATTAGATTAGAATTACTGAGCCTGATATATGATATATGCTTAACTCCCACTCACCATCGAACCAGCAGTAGTCCTCGCCAATGCCTGGCTTAAAGTGCTTGGGCATATCAGAGTCCTGCGCAAAGGAGACCAGAAAGCGCAGAGCTGCCACGCAGCCAATGGCTACAAAATAACACAAGGTGCGCACCCAGCTCTTGATAGCCTTCAGGCGGAACTTTAGCAGAAAGTCGAGACTGCAGAGGGCCAAGTAGACAAAGGACAACATGATGCAGAAGTAGGCCAAGAAACCTGTGCAGGAGCGAAGGGATAGAAGCTCGATCTATATAATGGAAAGGCTCTGGTATATCGAACCTATATTGCGGCACGCCTCATGGGACAGGTTCATTGGATTCTTGAGCGTCAGATAGACGAGCAGGCAGTAGCCCCCAATGGCCGACAGCAGATAGTAGATGATCAGCTGGCCGTAGTGCGAGCGACGCGCCTCGTTGATGGAGCTGAGCAGGGAGAGTACGAAGATGTTGATGAGTATTGCAATGATGCTGCCTGCGGAGAGAGTAAGAGGAGGCATTAACGTACATGGAAGGCTTAGGGTAGCTGCACCTGACTTACAGATGGCATAGATCCAGACTCTGTAGCCCCGCTGGAAGCGCTCGCAGTTGAGTGGCGTTAGCTGCCAGGCGTCTTTGTGCTCCAGCGGCGTAAAGCAGTACTCGTCCGTGCTCCAGAGGCGGCCGTCCCGCAGGAGCGAGCCGTTCTCATGCAGATCCCACTGCCAGAAGGTGTCGTGCTTCTTGTCCACAAACTTGTTGCGGCAGCCCAGCTCGGTGCGCACCACAAAGTGCTCGCTGATCTTCACCTGCGCCACGCTGAGATTGGCGTAGGTCAGTTCGACGTGGCTGATCAGGCGTTCCTGTTTGGGCTTTGTGCAGTTCCAGCTCTCGGCATTGAAGACCAGGTCCGGCGGACAGCAGAACGTGATGCAGGGCTTCAGCTGGCAGACGCAGCCGCGCAAATGCTTCTCCGCGCGGTACTCCACGCCGTCGATCACCTTGAAGCTGTACTCGGCCATCAGCTCAGGTGGTATCAGGACACCTGCGTACGAGTAGGAGCCATCCTTGAGCCGCAGTCCGTCCGTGATGTTAACGGTGTCTGCGTAGGCGCAGGGGAATTTGCCGTGGGGGGAGGCAGAGGCGGCTGCTGGTGCTGTTGATCTTGTGCTAATGAGGATGAACCACACGAGCACCACCCACATTTTTCTTGTTCTAGCGTTAATTCGGCAGTTAAACACGCTGCGGTCATAAAGCTCAGTTGTTACAGTAGGCGCTCGCTAAGACGAACACTTCTATTGCTGCCAAGACGCAAAAAGAAAATGTTTTATATTTATATAAATAAACATCCATATACATATACAGTTTTTTTTTAACTATACATATTTTTCAAATATAAATAATTTGTTTCGAAATTCCCGCTCTATGATTATTATGTTATATTAGGTAATCAGAAACTAATTCTCTTGCAAATTGGAAAGAAGATGCTCGCGCAGACATCTGTTCGTTGACAGAGTGCTCACTGTATTTGCTTTTAGCCTTAGGTGTGGTATTTGTTTGTGGCTCAAAACTTTATGCTGCGCACGTGACGTCACAGCGTCAACAGCGTTGGCAGTGATAGCGACGTCAGCGTCGCCGTCGGCGTCGGTATGAGCGCAACGCAAGAATTAAATAAATAAATAAAGGCGATCGTATCCATATGATATATTTGTCTTGGGTTTTGGATTTTAAACGCACGCACACACACATACACAAACACACAACAGATGCAAAAGTACAACAATCAAAACTGACGGCGAGAACGCTGACACCGACGCTGACGCTGACGTTGACGACGACGCTGACAGCGACGTCTAAAAACGGCTATATGATTGCGACAACAACGACAATAATTATATGGCGCGCAAGCGAGAAAACGATGAAGATAGAGAACGAAAGAGGGAGAGAGGCAGAAGGAAACGAACTTTGTGATGCGTTGTCGTTTCTCTTGTTGTTGTTGTTGTTGTTATTGTTGACTTTCTCAGTTAACGAAACCGGCAAACCGCGGCGCAGAGACGTCAACGCACCACGCCGGCCAAGAATAAAAAACAGACTAACTGATTAGCCAGTCAGTCAGCAAAGGCAGACCCCAGGCCACAGCCACAGCCGCAGCCACAGTCGCAGTCGCAGAGCGCACCAAAATGAGGGCCGAGAGGAATTCGATTTCGTATGTGTCTACTTTTCGGAATCGGAATTGGAATTGGAATCTCAGTCGGACGCGAACCTTATTCAAAATTCATTTTGGATTTTTAACAACAACAACAAGAGCAACAGCAACAGCAGCTGGCTTCGGCTAAAGCTTAAGTTGTGTGCGCAGTGAAGAGAGCTTTCATGTTAAAGTTCAGCGCTTCTCACTCGTTGTCTATGTCTAGCATAACTTTACACTGGATACAGTTGTGATAACAAAAGAGCGGCCGTAGTGAACAGCGGGTGCTTGTCTTTGCTAACAGAGCCTAACAGGGGGAACAGTTTAGGCATGCGGTGCTTGTCTTGTCGCTAGCTATGGCAATACGATAGCCAGGCGTTATTGTCTGTGCTGTAAAGCTTCTTTTTCCTTTACAGTGGGAACAATTTAAGCTTAGGCGCGACTTACTCTTGCGCAGAGTAGACTGAGAACAATTTGAGGAAACTCGTTTATATGTAAATGTTTTAAATTATAATTTTGGGCTTCACATTGAATGAAATACATTTTTAGCTGAAATAAATATGATATTTGCTTATTCTGCTGCTTGTTTTTTGTTTGTTTTCTTTGGCTTTATTTAACATTTGTATACATTTTTAACAAACATTTCACTTATGCTTTTTCGGTGTACAAATTAATATAAAACAATTACTGAAAGATCGCGTAGATATGACAAATGCTTACAAGACTTATCTGATATTTGATGTACATATGTATATGTTTATATATACGTATATAGTAAGCTCATTCAGATGTACACAGATATGAATATACATATATATATACAGCTTTATATATGTATATACATATAGAAATAGTGTCTTTTATAAGTCTAGAATATAATAGATATAGATATATGGCTGCTGGGACAGCCCAGCTATTCGATGCTTAGCACGACGTCGACGCGATGACGTCATCAAGGACTAGACCGGCTGCAATGCATTAACCACTGTGCGCACAGTGGGCCTCAATGGAAGCTGGTGGTGCGATGCTGTTGTTGTTGTTTTTGCTGTTGCTGTTGCTGCTGTTGTTTATCAATGGAGACAAGCGGCTTCTCCGCGGAGCTCTTCTCCTGCAAAGTAAGATTTGCAACGCTGCTGGAGGTGGTTTTGGTGGAGTATTGACTCTGCCTCTGGTGGCTGCCATCGCGCGAACTCGAGCATCTAAATGGACAGCATGAGAATCTGATTAGAGTCGGGGCAAATAGTGGGGGCATTGATAACACAGATTAGAGCGTAACAGCGTTAATGGTTGATATGATAACATGATTCGATATAAATATGATAATAAATGTGGATTGTTAGCTGGAAATGCAAATGTCTCTAGCGAGACTCCATGGGAACCGGAGAGGGGCAGAGCGAGGCAGCTGAACTGTTTGAATTGATTTACATGCAATTATATATATATTATTTATCTATATAGGTAGATAGCGTTAGAGATTGGTTAGTTGGTTTATCGTTTATTGTTTTTCAACTGGGGTTAATTACAAATGCTTCGCTTCAGCAAAACCTCTAACTACTTTTGATAATATTTCTTTTACCTTTATAGCACTATTTTCTTTTATTTAATTTCTTTCTTTTTTTCTATGTTTTTGTTTGGGTCTTGGGCCGTCGAGTGGACTTTTCCTTCATTTTTAGCTTTTCCTGGCGTATATTTATTTCGGTGGAGGTCGAGTTTGTTGAGGCCGATTGACTCGAGCTGGGCGACTTTTGCTTCAAAAGTCTTCGTGAACAAAAATTACGGATTTGCATTTGTTACATATGTATATTATTGATATATATTCATATATGAGTGTTTATGTAGAAAATATCACTTGGAGTTGGGTTACATAGGTGTTACACATGGTATATGTATATAAATATATTTATTAGTATACATCTAAATGGACGGAATTTGTTCGTTTGTTTTGTGTTTTTGTATGGGGCTTAGCCTCTGATCTTTTAGCTTTTTCTGTTTTTTTCATATTTACAACACTCAAGTATTAAGGCTTGCTAGCTGTGTTGTGTGTTGGTTAACAGCTTGGCTGCGGTTCTGGTTGCGACTCTTTAGCGTTAGCGATACCGAAAGCAGTCTGAATACGGAAGAATACAGAAGAAAATTCAATTGAGATACAGCCACACATATATACTATATATGTCTGTATATATATATTGTCTATGTATAGATTAGCTATCATATATAGTAGTGCATGCCATTCACACACATGCACACGCACACACACACACAGAGATAGACAGAGAGAGAGAGAGAGAGAGAGTGTGTTAGGCGGTCGTTGCACAACACTGAACAGCGAAGGGGAAGTGCAACGCTTACTGCAGCTATTTATCTGTTCGATCGTTCCATTCCGTTCCGTTCCGTTCCACTAGACGGCATGTGAATGCACACCACTGCCAGTGTTGGCAAACGCGTTGCGTATAACAACCAGCTTGCGTATGTGTTGGGAAGCGTCCATAAAGCGCTGCCTCATCGAGTAGCTGCTTCCAGCCACAGTCACGCTCTCCGTTTGCCTCAGACTGCGCACTCGCACAGTTCTAATCGAGGAGGTGGGGTGGGGCATTCGAGAGAGGGGTAGGGAGTGTGGACAATTGGAGTGAGTCAAATACAAATACATATTCAGTAGACACTCGTGTGTTACACATTACAAATACAGCTCGTTCCAATTGTGAATGGGGTAAGGGACAGCACAAATTTCTTGGTTTGGGTGTAGACGGGTTCTGGATGGAGCCAATGATGGAACATACCTGTTTGTTATCAAGTGCTTGACCTTCTTCTTCAGCACAAACAGCATGAAGATGAGAAAGCCCTGCATGGCATTGCACAAATCGGAGACGTAAAAGATCTTCGACCACTTCTTGTCGGCGCCCACAAAGTAGGATATGATTTCCGACGACCAGGTAACGCCCATGATCAGAAACAGGCGCAGAAACAAGCCGAATCTGGAATCACTTCCGTTAGTCAATCACTCTATGCAAAATGCAGGGAGAGCTTCACTTACTTATCCTTCTCGGTGCGCAGATTCCTGGTGCTATCCTCGCGGGCTATGATCCTCGCCATCTCGCGCTGCACGCTATGAATCTTGATGGCCGTCATCACAAACATCACCGTATTGGCCACGATGATGGCCATGATGGGTCCAAAGAAGTAGAACATCGCTGACCAATTGGTCATGTCCAGCCAACAGAACTGCCCCCCACCAATGCCCGGCTTCAGGTAATCGGGCCACTCGGTATACTCCTGCGCCAGCATCGTGAAGATCAGAAACAGCAGCGCCAGGCCCCACGAGTAGAGCGAGTAGAGCAGAAAGCGCTTCTTCTCCTGGAACCGGTTGATCCCGCGCGTGCCACGGAAATTGTGCCACAGGTCGAAGCTGATCACGTTCAGCCAGAAGAAGGCGGACATGAAGAAGAAGTAGGTTGTGTAGCCAAACACCTTGCAGGAGAGGCCCAGCGGATCTATGCCCTCCACGAGTAGGAGGCAGCACAGCAGCGAGTAGCCGACGGTCAGGCCTACCAGATAGCAGACCAAAGACTTTCCATGCTGATTTCGAAGCTCGGGAATCAAGAGGTATACGGCTATGGTCAGCAGCATGAAGGGAATGGAGAAGAGCATAGCTGTGGAAAGAAAGGAAAGAACATGAACATGGTCGTTAGATAGGCACCTGGGTTTATTTGGATATGTAATATATATAGCTGTATGCGCACAGCCTTGGCCTTACTCATTTCGTACTTACCGAACCCATTAATGATCTTCACCGTCGTATTCTCATGGAACATGTCGCAGTTGGCCGGGTTTATCGTGTAGTAGAGGTCGGTGTCGTTGATACTGGTGGGCACCAAACAGAACTCGTTCTTGAAGATGTAGTGCTGGTCATCCTCGCGGAACAGCGTGCCGTTCTCGTAGAGCTGGAAGGTGTCGTACGAGTTGACTTCCGGCACCAGCGAGAACATCTCGGTGCAGGGCCTGAAGCTCTGCACCACGAACTGCTCGTAGATATTCACGCTCTGAACCGATCCGTTGTTGAGGGTCACATTGATCAGCGGCTCTGGCCACTTTTGCTTCGTGTTCGTGTCTTTTTGGCAC